ACGACGACTACTACTACTGCTGCCACTGCTACTGCTACTGCTGCTGCTGCTGCTGCTGCTGCTGCTGCTGCTGCTTATGCACTACTACCACGTACCACGTACCACGTACCACAACTACTATTTCCACTACTACCACTACTACTACTACTACTACTACTACTCCTATACAACTACCACTACTCGTACTGCTACTGCTTTTGTAATGCTGCTGCTGCTGCTACTACAACTGCTTCTTCTACTACTACTGCTCCTGCTGCTACTACCATTACTACTACACTACCACTACCGCTCCGCTACCACTACCACTACCACTACCACTACCACTACCGCTGCTGCTGCTGCTGCTGCTGCTGCTGCTGCTTCGTGGAGCCTGTCTCAGAAATCAGAAGCGATACGGCAGATCAAGCCCTTCCATATTGCAGAACAGGTGCCCCTCAAATTCATGTGAATGTCACTCCAAGCCGTAAAGTATTCTTATCCTAAGTCTGAGTCATGATGCTCATGAGCGTGGTCTTGCATTCAGCATTTCAACCTTCAGGACGGCGTCGTTTCGTGCTTCAATCTGCACTCGGTCAGGGCAATGCCTGTGTGCTGAACCCATCGGCCTGCGACGTGATGTCACGGACATACATGGCAAGGTGCCGCGGCTGTACCTGAGCACTGTGTGTGGAAGCCGGAGTTAATTACATGTGCAGAGACAGAACTCAGATCTCTCAGAGAGTAAGCCTATGTGCAGCATCAGTTTTTTTGCCACATCCTGTTGGCCAATAGATTCCTGAACTGGTCTGCCACAGGAAAGGAGATCCTTTAACTACATGTAGGCTGGTTTGCATTGAAGCTTAAACAGCTGCGCAGTTTCCCGCTCTTCGGGTTGATCTCCTTGGCCGTCCTCTCCAACTTGGGCGCCGCGTTCTGCTTGCCTGCAGCCTCAGAGTCCAAAGCTTTATGTGCTGAAGTGCGATGTCACTAGGACGGTGAGGACCAAGCGTGTCCAAGGTTCTCTTACTCAAAAGCTCTGGCAGATGCCTCACTCCGTGCATGGACGGGGACGCTCACCCTTTTGGGTCCAGCATTTGCGCCGGGCTCCCTGGAGCTTAGGAAACCATGGCTTAGTCTTCTTTTGCCGGGAGTGTCCTCCTCCGCCGCCTCCTCTCCCTCTCCTTCTCCGCTTCCTCATCATTTCCGTCACAGCCACCACCACCACCACCACGGTCGGCCGCAACATCGTCCTCCCAACTTCACGTTGGCAAATTCGTAGAGCATCGAGGACCGCGCTGTGAATAACAATAGGGATTCAGAAGGAAAGTTAACAGCGCTCACTGTCATCTTCATTATCCACGACGAGTACTTCTGAGCCTTCACTACCGTCACCATCATCAGCACCGGAACATCACGACGCTGCTGCACGGCACAGCCACAGCCACAATCGTTGCCACCACAACTGCCTGCTCGCGAATGTGGCAGCGCGCAAAAATCGCAGCAACTGTGCCGTAAAGACTATGCAGCCGGGTGCAGTTGTAAGAAAGACTAAAACCTACGAGTGTCTTGTCTGAATGCCGCCCCTTCTCGCTGACTGTTAGTTTGAACATTCGTGTGTTGTTGATCGTTACTCCGACTGTCCTTTTTACTGCCGGCTTAGTTGTGAGAAGCATATTGACATTCATCTATACTAGTGAGGGCGGTGGAAGACGGGCGCAGGAGCAGCGATGTGGCTGGAGTGGCAGCGGTTGTGTCCTATCGCTATTGCGGTGGTGTTGGCGGGGTGGCAGCGGAGACTCGGAGACCGCGGAGGTCGTCGTCGTCGTCGTCCGTTGTGTCGTGTTCGTCGGCTTCACATCAGGGCAATGCCCGGGCAACGCAGGTCCGACAGCCTGGAATTGAAAGTTCCGAGAGTTCATCTGTTCTTCGAGATATCCACGCGGGAAATGTCAGGGTATCCACAAGCCACGTTGCAGCTGCAGCTGGCAGAACCTCCTCGCTGAGGACAGGTGGCATTGTCGCCTGGGCACTCTTGATGCCAGATCTGGGAGAGATCCCAACAGTGCTGTGCTGAGAAATGCCAAAGTAAGTCTGAATCGGCATGAGATGCCTGACGCACGATGTCTTCGAGCCGGGGTGTTGTGTTGAGACAGTCACATCACGCGTTTGCCAAGTCTTGGGCGGCACTGGTGCAGCTCTCAGCTACAAGACCAGTGATTGGTAGAGACCATGACAAACGAATCTCAGCTTTGGTAACTGTTCAGACATGGGGCATCATGGGGCACGTGTGCGAAAGGGCCCTCATGCACATAGATCGGCCGACGAGGTTCAGGAATCCAGACCCTACGAGGGACAGAGACCATGCCATCCACTTCCCGCGAAGGCTTTGGCATGATTGTCCTTCTGTGTCGAGGTTGGGCAACTTGCTCCGGGCCTTTCGTGCGGTTCTCGGAAGCATTTTGTCAATGAGGAAAAGCAGTCATGCCATCGGCACACAATGCACAAAGCTTAGCAGTGATTGATTGGTTGCCATCAACCCCTGTGGCTATGCTCGCGGCTTCGGCAATGCACCTCCCCAAACCGGCGAAACAACAGAGCATCTTAATGTCCGCTTGTACCTCGCAAATCGGCGCCTCCAGGGCAGGCCGCAGAAACTCTAAGGGAGGGAACTTTGAGGGAACGCAGAAGGGCTCTGGGCTCTGCGAGCTGTTGGCAAGAAGAGATCCTGTTTAGATCCTATCGCGATGGCGCCTGCACCTACCTTTCCGCGGAAGCTGGACAGACTAGTGCAAGCCTCGCCTTTTGAAGGTATTCGCATCACTGCCCCTTCTCTGAGCAGAACTGCGACGCTGCTTTCCACACATAGGGCATGGCTTCAAACACAGATGAAAGACCTGCGAAATGGAGCGCTGGCACAAGTCAATTCCACAATCGATGCGCCCTAGCACTGAAGCGGCGTCCCAAGCCCGAGACGAGGGCGTTCTGACGACTCGTCCTGCGAACAGGATTTTGGATGATTTTGGATCACATCAGACAAGACAGAATCTCACTGCGATTACTAGACGTGGCTTGTTCGGGTGCATGCTGTGAACTGTAAGGTACAGCGAGACGCGCGACTTCCAGCTGCTCGGCGGCTTCTCAGACAACTGAAGAAAGAAATGAAACCAGTCCAACATTCGGACCCCTTCAGGTTCGGATGGACCTTCTTTGCAGCTTGCATCATAGACTTCTGCATGATTATCACAGGCCTTGGGATGTCGGGGGAACACACATCTGTTCCCAGAGCAGACTGCATGGTCCTGCTTGTCTATGGCTTGCCGGTACAGTCTCTTTCTCATGACTTTACGGTGCTCATGCGAGACCATGCTGAGTCAGAGCCCTGAGCCCTGTTTGCAGCTTTTTGCTGGATGTGCATGTTCAAGCGGAATGATGACGAAGAACTGGAAGTCGCAAAGCAGGCCGGGGCAAATGTTGTGAGCTTCACGCTATTTCACGTTCAATCTCGTGGACCATCGTGAACCGTCGTGCTGCTCTGCCTATTTTCACCAGGCTGCTGCTGACCGGGCATTCTGCGATACGTTTAGGACTGAGACATTCCAGCCGACGCAAAGTTGTGCACATTTACTCCAAGCGCCGAATCTCTCGGGTAAGAGCAGGGGTCGAATTCGCATAAGGCTGGAGGAAGAGCGTGCCCTGGGCTTCACGAAAGCATCCGAGTTTGCTCCCGGCTACGTCCGGGGCTAAGGATATAGGCTTAGGAAGTCTTCGCACCCAAGTGAAGCGTCATCAATGTTGTTTCGACTCGTTTCTGTGCAGGGCGCCACAGACGACTAGCCATCCGGGGCAAATTGACGCGACATGGTGCGTGCACTAGGGCTGCATCCAGACCCGTGAGGTCTCCGGCACACGGTGGACAGGAAAATTGACTGTGACCGAGGGCCAAGCAAGCTTTATTGCGCCGGCGTTCTTTGGAGATTGAGCTTCCCTTCGCATGTGCAAGCTGCACACATTCACCGGCCATCTCAATTCTCGAGTGACGTTAGGTACATAGGGGTGTTGCAATCCGGAGCTGTTTGCAAACTACGAGTACTTTGCAACCAGAGTCATCTTCACGACTGCCAAGCAGCGCAAGAAGCCTGTCGACTTCGAGCTTGACCACGGAGGGCTTCTGATGGTACTTGTTATCTCGATAACTCTTGGAACTGAAAGATGTGTGCAGTGTACAGCAAAGCAGCACAGCACCGGTGCGTAATTTCTGTACCAGAGAAATTATCGCAGCGATGATGACGCCCATACAAGCGATGCAGGCTGGAGACTCGATGAGCATGTCTAGATGCCGTTTTGCCGGTTGTACGCAGCCGAAAGCATAATGTGCGTGTACTGACAGCGAAAGGTTGCACCTCTGGGCTGCTCGTCGTTGCGACGAAGCCCTGCTCAAGCTTGTTCCTCGGAGGTTGTCTTTGAAGAGTCCCGACAGTAAAGATGGGACAGCCGATCCCCAGAAGCACGACGATAGTATACATGCCTCTGCTTCGAGTCGGGTAGAATCAATCATCCTCGGAAATCATGGCCACGGAATCAGAACCAACTGTATGGCTTTGCGCAACTTCGCATGCAGATGAAAGCACAAGTCTTGATCGAAGGACACAGATCTGTCACTGTCTGTCTCCGTCTAATCGAGTCAATATAGGCTGCAGAGTCATGCCTCCAAGTTGTTTCCGCTGCAGCCCTTCGGTCTTCGCAGCACTTGATCGCTTGCATCCTGATCTGCTTTAGCGATGCCCAGACTCACAAAGACGGTAGCAGTGACTTCATGGCCATGCTCGCTGCAGTCCTCCGGGGCTGTGGATGCAAAACGACCGACCCTGCCATCTGCACCACCAGCGCATCTGGCTGTGGCGGACTGAACCTACATGAACTGCATGAAAGATGCCGGCTGCTGCTATTGCGAAGCCGGCGGGGCCAATCTCGTGCCAGGAAATGGCTGCACCTTGAACAGGCCTTGTAAGCCGATCGGCCACAGGCGTGGGGTGAAGCGTGATGCCGTGGCGTCGCTATGCTCGGCGCCACGTCCATGCAACGCTACCCTTGCGTTGGGTGAGGGGGGGAACGATGAAAAGAGACCCGTGCTGTTCGCGTAGCTGTGGATTCTGTCCGATTACGAACAGTGCGAGGAGATCTATTCCAGGGGTTTGCTCGGCAAGTTGGGATAGCGTGCCCACCTTGTCCCCCGAAACCCTCACAGCCGAAAGCAAATCAAGTGACTGGCGAAAGTTGCCCTTCGGAGTCTGGATGGGGACGCAAGATGCGCGAAAGTAAACTCAAGGTGCCTGTTTATCCAACCCTTCGGAGAAGGCTTAGCAAGGTCTCCGTTGTTACGTTGATGGCTCAGGTGTATCCCGTGCGGCTGCTGATCTCTCAGAACTGCTCTTGTCCAGACGAGTATGAAGCAGCTTCGTGCAAGGAAGGCCAGCGTGACATTGGAAAAGAGAGTGAAGCTGCGGCTAAGGAGCCCTCAGCCCCGCATTGCACGCCGAGCCTTTTTCAGCAAGGCACGCCGTCTCATGTTTCAATCCCTTGAAGAATCGTTTGGAGCCATTCAATGACACTTTTTGGCATAGCGCCAAAATTCCCTCCTTGCTGATGCTAACAGCAGAAGCCAAAAGAAAACCAAAACTACTTTTACATGTGACGAGACATAGTCGTTGCCGCTGTGCCCGTAACAGAAGCAACTTTGGCACTCTCAGTTGTCGTGGTGGCATCTGCTGCGGTTGCTCTTGCTACTACTGCTACTACTACTACTACTACTACCACCACCACCACCACCACCACCACCACGACGACGACGACTACTACTACTACTACTGGCGTCGTGGCTGCGGCGTGCCAACTGCTCTTTCTCTTAAGTCTTATGTTGTTTGGGCAGTGGCGACGGGCAATCATGAGGGGTTCCGCTACGAAGTCTTGAGCTTGCTTTTGGGTGGGACAATCGGGGTGATCAAACGAGTTCGAAGATGCTAGCAGATGCGGTGTGAAGTAGTCGCATCGTAGGCCTTCTTCCCGCAGAGGCTACAGACAGGTTCTCAGATCTTTCTAAGCCGTTTTGAGTTGTAAGCTACAAAAGCTTGACTTTCTCGGGTTCTGCCACCTATGCTCTCAGTTTCCACACATAAACACCATCTTCAAGCAAGCTCCCGTCTCCCCTGCTCTCACCTCTTCAACCCTACATCGGCCATGGCAAACGATAGACCCCACCTCACAGTTGTTCACCGGTTTTGGAGTACGTTTGCTGGTCTTAGTCTCCGCACCCACATGTCGCCTGCCGTGACCAGATACAACCAGCTTCAAATTGCACCAGTTGTTTCCAAGATTCCTAAACGGCTCCTTCCCTCGAAGACCACACCCTTTGCAACGTGTGCCGGCTACCTTCCTATCGGTCAATTCCCCGACAGTTCCAGTGCCCTGTTTATCCTAAAGCTTTGAGTGCACACCCAACCTTCTCGACAAAGGAATGCTGAGCAAACACAACGCGCCCAGACCCCAGAGCCACCCACCATCACCCAGAACCTACCCTAACCTTTCTAAACCGATAGAGGTGAAGCTTTGCTACATCTTTAGACTGTGCATGTTTGGCCCAACAACCCTGCCAGGAAGATCAAGGCTCTCAATAGGTTCAGCGTTCGTTCTTGAATTGCAAGTAAGTCTCCAGAGTTCAGACTGTAGGTCAGTTGGTCAAGCTTCTTCCAGCGAGGCGCCGCCGCCGCCTCCGCCAGTTTGGGCGAGACCGGCAACTTGGGCCACGCTTGCCTTTCTGGCCACGTCCTCAAGACTCCAAGCTTTCTTCTTCTCCACATCCTATCACGCAGTGCTAGACCCGGTAAGAGTATTGGTGGTTGCAGTAGCAGTAGTAGTAGTAGTAGTAGTAGTAGTAGTGCAGCAGCAGCAGCAGCAGCAGCAGCAGGACGAGGAGGAGTAGAAACTAGTAGTAGGAAGAGGAGGAGGAGGGTTTGTCTGCCTCTCATGAAGGCCGGGCTGGCCCTCGCCTCGCGCTGGGCATGGAAGAAGCTTCGGAAGCGGTCAACCACGACGAAGATGCCTGGGGCCCTCTTCCGCGGTATCTGCAGCTGAGACGGAGTCGCAGCAAAGGTCGGTCGCAGAGATGTATTTCCAGTTGGAGAAGAGCCTGGCACTTGGCACAAGAATCGACGCACAGCATGCTCCGCAACGTTCTAGCAATGGGCATCCATCCGGTGTTTGCACATTTCCGCTCGTCACGTTGACTTACGCCAGAAGAGGTATCGTCTCACTCGTCGTCGTCGTCAAAGCCCGAATAGATAGTCGGCACCCAAAGACTGCGCCTGCCCGAACTACCGCGTCATGAGCTGTACTATCTCACGCGCAGAATGATGGCCGTTAAGATTGCAGTTAGAGGTGCTGGCGCTCCTACTGCTGCTGCTGCCCCATCCAGCAGCATGCCAAAGGCTGCAGCGCCGTTGTGAGAGCCCTGGTCCTTCCTCGGGAGACTTCTGGCACCAGCTGTGCTCGGACTGAGGCCTCCGGCGCCTCCAAAATTACCAACTGCCCCGATGCCCACACAGGCCGGACCGACGCCACACAGGGCGTCACGGGGCAGGAAGCTTTCAGCTGTAGGACTGCAGGGACTGCAGCTGCTATTCAGCCGCTAGTCGCCGCTAGTCAAGAATCCGATAGCTTGCATGCGTCAGTCCTGCCATCTGTTAACTGTTTCCTTCCTCGTGCGCCAGTCAAACAGCTGGTAACCAGGCACCTGCGACTCCGCAAACCGATGCCAGAGCCCGAGATGACGGTGCTTGCTAGCCGCGGAATGGAAGTGTCACTTTTCGATGACATGTGCCGGTCAAGGAGCTGAAAGCGGAAACGGCTGTGCCGGCAGCCAAAGCACCTACACCAGTATCTACACCTCCGCCGTCAGCAACACCCCCGGCAGCTCCACCGCCCACAACTGCACCAATCCCTCCCGCTGCGCCCCCACCAGCTGCCAAAACACCACCGACAGCAACCAAAACTCCACCGCCAGCAGCACCGCCACCGCCAGCAGCCGAAGCCGAGTCCGCACCTGCTGAGTCTCAAACCGGGACATCTTCGGAGGATCCTGCATCTACATCATCCTCTGACGCAAAGAAAACCGAGGCACCACCTAGAGTTCAACCATACTGAACCGATTGGTTTGACAACTCACCTCCCTTGCAGAAAGGCGAAAGAGAAGAAAGGCTTCGGCTGGCTGCTGAACAGGACACTTGAATCTTCAAGTCCGTCTACCGCCAGGGCAGCACGTCATGGATCCCTCGTGTCACTCGATCCGAGTAGAAGTGCGCAGGAGCAAGTCGGCGCAGGACACGGGATCTGCAGCATACTTTCGGTGCAGCGACACGATGATATTTCTAGAGCAAATTTGCCGCCCCTGCCAGGCACCACTCTTGGCAGAGCTTCTGCAGGAGAAGGACTCCAGTGATGGTGAGCGGGCTGCTCAGATGCCCTAACCTCGACTTCCCACGGAATCAAATGGTTGGCGGAGCAGATCGTGGAAAAAGGTTCAGCGTGACCAGTCGCATTCGCATCTGTCCTGCCTTGACAGGGTGCCTGCTGTTTATCTTCGTGCGGTCGCCAGCGAGCTATGTCCACTCCTCAGGCCTTCGTTTCGTTGTCGGGAAATTTTGGTTTGACAAGTCTCGATCTGTGCAATTCGCGACTTTGTTTGTCCGGCTGGTCACCCTTGCCATCACGAGTAGGATCATCCTGCACCCTGCTTCGGCGGTGTCTTGGTTTGCCCGGGCAGTTCGGACAGGTACAAGCTTCAAGCATCTGGCATGAGCTTCTGGCAAGCCAAGGCGTCGATGCACCAAGCGGCGTGTTCGATGGCACCGAGGGCCTGAAGGTGACCTGGCCAGCAACCAGGAACCATATTGGCAGTTTACGATAGGTAGAGATCTCCAGGCCAGCGAAACAGACAAGACCCGCAAACGAGAGTTCAATGCTTGCACTGCAACGGCCGCCGCTGAGCGACCGAGGTGGTTCCTGCGTCTGTGCGGGACTTGGACATCGGAGCATCAAGCCGCTCTTCCACGCGTTGCTCGTCCATTCCGGCAGTTGACAAGCCATGGCTAGCTGCTAGCCGTTTTTGTTTCGACTCTTTAGCTTAGAATTTGGGTAGCTAGGTGTCCTGGTGCATCTTGGTGCCATGGTGGGTAAACGCATCAGTTTGGAGAAGAACCTGCTGAACACCAGCAAGCAGGAGCTCTCAGCCAACCTGGAACGCACGGCCTTGTGCTCGTTCTTTGCCATGGGCAAGTGCCTAAGGGGAAAGGAGTGCAAGTTTGCCCACGACATGACGCAGATCAGGCCCAAACCAGATCTGACCCGGACCAGCCTGTGCCACGACTTCATGCGGAAGGGTTCTTGCAAGAGTGGGAACAAGTGCAAGTACGCTCACGGGGAAGCACAGCTGCGCGCACCGAAAGGGGAGCAGAAGAAGCCGCTGGCCGCTGCACCTGCCGCCGCTGTCGTAGAGCCACTGCTTTGGGATCCCATGGGTTTGGAGTTGGAAGCACCGCAAGGTCTCAAGGAGCCCTTGGCTCCGATGGACGCATTAATCCCGGTGCTGCAGAGGCTCATGGGCAACCGCCAGACACGTCCCAAGAGCCCTCAGAGCCCTCCGACTCCCGTCTTGGAGGCGGGCAGGGGGAGAAAGGCTAGCGAGCCCCATCATAAAGCTAGGTCTCACAGTGCACTTTCGTCCTTTTTATGTTGGCGGTCTCCTTCTTTGGACAGGAAGAGTAGGAGAAAAAGTACCCTTGCTACTAAGGAGCTACTGGGTAACCTAGGCAAAGCAGGCTGAAGTCCTAAAGTATCATGGGCACATCGTTTTTGCCGAGTGGCTTCGCAACCCTGAGGAGAAGAAAGCTGAGACAAAGACGGCCCGATATTCTGAGATTCCGAACGACAAAGACTGCGGTTCTCCACTGTCTCCACTACCGGAAGCCCTGTCGAGTCATCCCTTCAAGGTTGTACTGCGAGCGGATGGCCAGATCACGTGTGCGGAAGCCGTTGATGTCTACCCCGTGCTTCCCAAGGACTTGGCCTTTCCTATTCATGTCAAGAACACGTTCTTGGACTTTGATTCAGAAATCCCTCCTTGCGACTTCATCCGATTCTGCACAGAGCCAGCGGATCTTGGGCGGGCGGGGGCATAACTCCTGACTGCTATAGATCCTGTTTGAATCCTTGCGCACATGGCAATGCTGCCATAACATTGACAGTTGCTTGCTAGAGGTGCAGTTGAATGAGACTCAAAAGAACTTGGGTGAACAAGTCGCAAGTAGTGGAAACTAAGCATGATGATCCTGATTCGGTCTTTCGAGCTCACAACTGACCTCTGTTCCTGCGCAACTTTTTAAGGTTTAAGACTTATAGTGACTTAGACTGCTGTTCCATGCACACCCGACTTTCTCAAAACGCACATGCCGGCTGAGACCGACCAGCACAAGACTTGGAAACACAGCGATGTCTGGTCTCGCGGAGCATTGTGAAGTAGCTTCTATGGCAAGTTTCAGGCATGAAGGTAGGACTAGGACAATGTAGGATCAGAGCGCAGAAGTGGTTGTGGCATTTCCAGCATGTCTTTCGTGCTGTGGGACACAAAACGCCAGGGCCTTGCCAGTGCCAGCATGTTTCGTTGACACGGATCTTGTATTCGTGTACCGGGCCCAGGACCACAAGTGACAGCAACATGACAACACAAGTGCTTTCCCACCATCCTGAGATGATCAGATAATGCAGGTTTTTTCAATGAGAGCTCTTACTCACTCGTAGGTTGGAGCTGCCTTTGTGTAATTGTGATTGCTCGGGGAGCGGTCCAACATTTTAATTGCAGAATTGCGGAACATTTGAGACCAAGTTGCAACTCTGCTTTGCACGAGCTGCCTCTTTGCATTCGCTTCGCATCTGCACCAGTGGCAGGCGACGAGGTAGAAAAAATGCATCGAAAGCCGCCAGCTGCCACCAGCTAGCTACTAGTAGCCTAGAAGGCATCCCCTGTGACAGTGCCGACAAGATCTGAAGGAAGAGAGAATGCCGTCTGCATGTCCTGAGACCAGGTGCCTGTTGCCACGCGATCGCTTCTGCTACATGCCGCTGCATCTTGGCTGCACGTTGGACTCTGGCAAACCGAACCATGCAGAAATGGTGTTCATCTCCCCTTGCTATCCGGTGAGATAGTGGAAACACCAGGTGAAGTCTGAGGCTGAGAAGCTCAAGCCGAAGCTTGCGGCAGAGGCAGCTTCCCTCACGCCGCAGTTTTGGTGAGGTTGCTGCAAGCCGGGTAATTCGCGAAAGCATCCCAGGGCGTGGTCAGCGTGGCAAAGTCCATGATGCGAGAGCTGGTCGAGAGGGCTGCAGATATCAAGGAACCCTTGGGCTTTCACACCCTCCGACTCATCTCGTGAAGCTGACGACTGCACATGTCGCAGTCTCTGGATTAAGACAAGCGCCGGATATGCATGGAGGATCCCAAAGAGAAGCGGGAAGCATTGGATCAAATTGCACGGATCTCAGCTTAGCTTCGAAGGCGACCTCAATCTCATCAGTGTCAGCATCTACCAGCCTACGAGCCTGCAGGTGGTACTTAGCGAAAGCTCCCAAAGCCTCGCCAGCAGCGTCGCGGCGGATGTGGAAGTAGGCCGGAAGTATTGGATGCGTCCACTCGCACATGCAACCTATGCACGTATAGTATAGGCACGTGCGGGCAGGTACGGACATATCTGCAGGGAACTGCTCACCTCAGTATAGGTACAGGCATTTGCACCACGAGACTACTTAGGCAGAACAAAAGTGTTGACATGTTTTGGCCTACTAACTCTTTAGTGGCTCTTTCTTGTCCTAACTCCCCTTGCGGAGTAGCGGGGTAAGTATTTTATACGCCGTTTGGAAACTGTACGACGCGAACGTTCCGGAGGAGTACCCCATGGGTCCTGCTTGTTAGGATTCTACGGGGGAAGGGGGGCTTCTCTTCGACGAAACCGCGAGTGGACCAAACTTTCACCAGCAAAGACCCCATGGCTTAGGGGCACAACTTGCAGCCAAGCAAGGATAGAATAAAGTGCATGATAGCACAAGACTTGAGACACACGCACAGCCTCACCAGTAGAGTGGAGCCGTCTGCATGTGCAGCGATCAAGCACTGCATCCCAACCAAGATCCATTTCACACCCAACACCAGGGGGCATCGGGCGAAACATCCAGCACAGCGATATGACGAAACACTCGCCAAGAAGGGGAAATGATGCAAAGCATCCGACGCTCACAGCATCCAACAACATGGCCTCCAAACAAACGCGCCGTTGTGCAGAGCATCAAAAGGCGAGGAGAGCACCTGCGCTCACGTCCAACAAAAACGGAGAGTTGTGCACTGTAGCTAACACAATATGAAGTTTGAATGACAGGAAGCTTGAGCCAGGAAGCTCATAGTTCGCATCATGCACTAGAGGCGATGATGCAAGATCCCTCACAAAGGAGGGAATCATGCGATGCCCACACCAAATATCCGACAGCAAAGGAGGTCAGATTTGAAACGAGGGGGGGTTGAACGATGCGAGGTTGCGAGAACCATTGGAATTCACAACCGACAGGCTGAACAGAACATTGAACACCCAGGGGGACATGGAGAGATTCATCGTTTCCAGCCGAGTGGCTTCCGAGTTAGCTAGGGGTAGCACACTGACACAAAGCTGGTTGGCTCCATTGGGCACGGCGAAGCATTCAAGGCAGCTGACGTCACATTCGATACATGGGGAGTTTGTGCCACACTTCCGGCACGCAAGGGGTAGACATTGAGATGGGGAGCTGTCGTTTTATTAAATTTCTTGAGTGTTCGTTGCGCCATGGTTCGCGAATGAAGGACAGTTTTATCAGAGGCAAGCGCGTGATTTATCAAAGAGATGTGCGTGCATTATCACGAACATGTGCGGGAAGTGTCATTCGCATGTTCAGGTTTGATTTAGGGTTTAGGGTATAGGATTTAGGGAATCCGTTGCACGTGTCTGAAAAATCTTTTCCATGTGCCTGAAGCGCCCCCCGACTTGCGCCTGATAATCTCGACCTGTTCCCGATAAATCCGGCACAAGGGCTTGATAGCGCTGCTCCATGTGTTGAACCATCGCACCTACAAGAAAAAAACATCACCCCATTGAGATCCAAATCGTTCAAGGCAAGGGACTTCTGAATTTCATCCAGGCCCCTATAGCCACATGTCACTTGCATGCCCAGAGCGTGGCGCGGACCGCCTTTGTGCCGCATCTGTGGTGCCAATTGCATGCCCAGACCATGGGCACGATGCGCGTCACCTGTCGAAAGGCCTTTGTCTGAATACGGTTTATACTTTATACAAGCTTCTGCAAAAACAGCTAGACACCCGCATGCAAGCGGTCGACAGACCACCACGCAATGCCAGCAGACCTTCAGCAGGAGGCCTGCAAGAGTTGTGTGCCGAGAACACACACACACACACCGAAAGCTTGCCTTGCACTGTCAAATCACGTTCGGAGCGAGACGAAGCTGTGGCGCGCGCATGGAGTTTGAAGACAGGTATGCGTCCAGAGCCGGGTACATCTCATGTGCTGTGACCATTATTTCAGAAAAGCAGAAAAGAGGACTACGGTCCGTCCGTCGATCTTCCTGCACTCTATGAACACATACACAGACACATGCCTCAGAAGAGTTCCAACGTAAGAATCCACCGCCCTTTTGGCAATCATAGTTGACAAAATCAAATCGCAGGTGCTCCTGTCTACGATGGCCCGCTGAGATACAAGACGCTCGAGCAGATGTTCGATGTGTTTGCCTGGCCCGATTATTGTGTTCACAGCTTTCCCTGACTCTGCAGGCACAAAGGTCTTGGACTGTACATTCCCTCGCGAGCACATGTATCAATTGCAGTGCATCGCAACATGCAAGTCGTTGGCAGGTACTTGGATGGTGTCATGGAGAATGTGCAGCAGCAGACGAAAGCAATGATGCAAGCCTTTTCGGGCGGAGAGGCGAGTCTCCCGTGGACCCTGGAACAAGATGAGAATAACCAACACGTCTTGGGTGTGCTCCGCGTTAGCATGACAATAGAATTGCAGAAGCAGCATTATTCCTCGCTCCAGCAAACGAGGCTTCAGATTCAGCATAGCTCGCACAGGATGCATCTGGCGCGCAGCCGTCCGTTCGAGCCTCGAGCTGTTTGTGGGGCGCAGTGCCTTGAAGTGCCTTTCTCGAGGTTGCGGAGATGACGGCCAGAGCTGAGCAAGCTGACAAGGCTCAAACCACCCTGGCTGCCATCTTCAAGATCTCCGAGGGCAAGGCACAATTGGCTCTCAGCATGGTTCTGCTGCACCACCTTAGTGGTTATTAGTATGTATGTATATATATATATATAGATATATGTATAGATATATAGATAGATAGATAGATAGATAGCCGGTGCAACGTCAGCCCCAGCCTTGCACGAGCCTCAGCATTGGCAGGTTCAGAAGTTGTTGGACAAGAAAGGTGAGAAGATGCAGAAGGATCGGATGCAAACGTGTTAAACAGCAGCACATGCCGACCGGCCGCCAACACAGCCGACATCATGTGAGTCTCAAGGTCGTCTCCAGAATTCTGCAGATGAATCTCAATCCATTCCCCTCCATCGTCACCACTGCCAGGATCTGTTGGGTGGTCTTCTGAGCGGCGAAGCCTGAGCGTCATTGCAGCCTGACTTTCTCGGTCTATCTTCAGAGACAAGAGACAAGTGCTGTTTTGTATTTCACGCATTTGTGCAGGCTGCTGGCGAGAAATGCGTAAGCACCTTTTAGAGCTGGTAGCCCACCGAGTTTTGGGTCTGCCGGCTGCAGCCACCGACTGAACTCCTGTCAACAATCCGTCTCCATCGGCCGTCCTTTTACGCTGGGTATCAAAGTCTTTCTTTCAGAGCTGCGGCTGCAGCGGTTGGGCAAGCCAGGGTCAGCATTGACACGCACGGGCTGGAAGATGCAGTTGCAGCAGTGGCCCTCGAAGTCTTCGCCCACCTTCCACGGAAAGTCTTCTCCCAGTCGTTTCGTGTCACTGCATGTGTTTTCACCACAGCATGGCAGGCATTGCCGCAACACAGGCAGCTAACCAAGATGCTGTCCAATGAGTTTCTTCGATTTCTAAGCGGCCAGCGATGGCCCGCCAATGCCTAAAGAGTCCAAGCAAGAGTGCGCACGCACTGGCATGGATTCAAAAGTTAAAACTGCGAAAAAGACGCGGGTTGCAACATGTTTACGCTGCATCATGGACGGCTGTTTCTGCTGGGATCTGTTGGTCTTATGCAACGAGCAAGGTTGTGTTCTGCTGCGTAGATCCAGAGCCCCGAAAGGGCAAGGCTTTTAGCTTTTCACCCTCGCTCCTTTCATCCTAAAGCCCGGCAGAACGCATGGAACTTGACACAAAATGTATATAAGAGACCAAGAGCAACAGCAGCAGAAGCAGAAGTTGACAGCGCAAGCTGGCAGCGCAGCCAGCGAGCCAAGAGCAATGCAGACTTCCATGCTTCCGATGTCAGAGAAGGCCTTGAGATTCGAGCAATCACCTTGCAAGAGGATTTGTCCCTGCAGTGGTCCTGGCTGCAGGAGACCGCAGGGGCGGACTTGGAGGATGCAACGGCGATAGTGAAGCTTCTGAAGGCCTGACATGGCCTGACGTCTTGAGAATACCTCTCGCAAAAACCTTGGCAGAGAACGACCAAGCGCCGCTAAAGCTGTGGTCCTTCGAGCTCGCTTCGATTTGAGGCGGCAGGATTCAGTGCTGCTGCCATCCTAGAGCTCGGCCACTCCGCCGCCGCCCTGCGCCTCGCGGGCTACGACGTTTCGGAGCTTCGAGCGCTGGGCCTGGACACGAAAGGCCCAGAGCCCTTGTGTGTGTGTGTGTGCGCGCGCGCGTGCGCGCGTGCGCGCGCGCGCGTGTGTGTGTGTGTGTGTGTTTGTGTGTGTGTGTGCACTCCGTGAGCTTTCTGCCCTTGCTGTCAGGACTACGAGAAGCGGGATACTCTGCCAAAGCTCTACAAGCTTCAGGCAAATTTGCACAGACCGTAGATATCACTGAACTGCAGCTCTCTCTTTGCCTCTTAACAGTCAGAATTCAGGCTGCACTGCGCCTGAGCTCAAGGATGCAGGGTATTCCCCTGCTGAGCTGAAGGTGAGGGCCCCGGCACTGACACTTCGGCGTCGGGCTTGTCAATTGGATGGATGGAGTTCAAAATGATGAGATGCATGTGCAAGTCGACAAGCCCCTGACCGTGCAGGACCTTGGCTTCACTGCCTACGAGCTGCGGCTATTGAGCTTCCAGGCTCGATGTGCCAAGTTCCCGCCAGTGTCCGACTGCTTCAGGTGCAAAGCAGCATCTTCTAGCGTCAGTTCCAAAATCCTTTGTGAAGGCTGAGCAGATGAGAAAATCCCAGTTCTCTGCGCATCAACTCCTAACCGGCGGATATAGCTCTGCGCAGTTGACGCTTGCCGTATAGTAATCGAAAACTCTGTCATAGTAGCACTTTCAGACTGCAGCCGCAGCATCTGCTGAGGAAAGAAGGTGGCTACACAGCACAGGAGTACTGCTGCACACCTTCGTGGTGTTTGCATCTATTTCGCGGCTACTGTGCGACATGTATCCGTAAGCTTGGGAAACTGTCTAGAGAAGCCCATCCTTCAGTTTCTGACCGTCGCACCAACGCGAACATGAGTAACAGCAAGACGCAGCAGAACATAAGCATTGCAACGACGATGACACTCAGCGCAGCTAATGTATCAAGCCTTCCATTACCAGTAGTCAACCTGTGTCGTATTATCGTTTGTGTCAGTAGCTGTACTGCCCGTGCTCAGCCTGGCAGAGTCTTTTGTACATGCATGTATGCAAATGTCCATGTGCACGAAAGTGGGGAAAGTGTGACAGCTGTGATGGTCTTTCTGACGTTGGGCGGGGGCATGGGCATGCGCTTATCACTCAATCAATCAGGTCCAAAGCTGTGGCAACAGTGTTGCTGTCGTGCTCACTCGTTTGATCTCCATTCTGATCCTACGCCCTGCCTTCGCTGGATGCGATGACAATGCTCAGCACGATCACGGCACCCGCTTCATCATCGCATCAAGCAACGCGGCAGATTTGTCGGGGTCTCTCACCGACTCTGAGCCTGTGGCGTGACACGCTTGTGAGTGTGTGTGTCCAGTAGCAACCTTGAACTGCGTAGGTGCCTCAAGCACTCTGGCTCGATCGGGTTAGTCGGCGACCGTCGTACCTCAGCGGGCCGATGCTGATATGCGCACCTGGCCCCGGCTGTAGGTCCAGAGCCTGTTCGTCGAGCGGTGCAGCTACGCTTTTCGCGGCACGAAAAACAGTCGATTGTACCATGTCACGTCTGTCGAGTCTATAAAGAGCCAACAGAGCGCGACGCTTGTTATTCATGTCCTTGTTGAAGTGTATGAAGACTGTTGGAGTGAGGAGCTGCTGAGTGCTGGGCGAACACCCGCAGAACTGCGTGAAATGGGGACCGGCGTGGCAGAGCTTCGAAAAGCAGGCCAGATCAGGGAGCCGACATGATGTGTGTGTGTGTGTGACTGGAGCTTCTTCTGCAGCAGCTTGCATTCATGACTCCTAGTGCCTGCGGTTCTTCAGTCTGGCATGATGCTGATGCGGACGCTTCCACGCGATGCTTCAAAAAGGCTTGCTTGCCAGTCTGCGCCCATGCCAAAACTACGTGTCGGGAGGTCGCAGGCCAGGTTTCGATCTATGGAAGCCGAGATTCAAAGCACGAAGGCTCCCTCTCCCAGAGCTTCCACCTTTGGCGGATCCCCAATCCGGCCTGAACCAGGAAAAAACATTTTTGTGGGCTGGCTCGACTAACTCGGTCCTTGGAAGCCACACTCGCCACACCCTCTTTCGTCCCCTTCTGGGTGCAGGCGATAGAATCCTCACCAAGAGAGAAAAGCCAGAAACAACAAGTGCTCTCCAACTGCGACACTCCACCTGATGTGCTTAGAAGGCGAAGGTTTCGCAAAGGCTATATTTGGTGGCAGGTGTGGGCGTCAAAGAGATCAAAGAAGCTGGCTTCACTTACGTCGACATGATGATCGGAGGCTTCTGTCCAGACGAGGTGCTCCTGCAGGCGCGATGCGCAAGTCTCCTGCCTGCCAACTGCACACAGCAAGTTGCCTGCTACCTCACGTGCGATGACGGCCAAAGCTGCTTTGGCTTGAGACCAAGCCCGAAAGGTTGCCGCATACTCTAGCAGCCCGATGATTATCGTCACCTTGCACGCATGTTGAACTATCTTCCGGGCTGCTGCAGGTGCACATTCCATACTCTGAGATGGGTCATGCAGTGGCTCATTTGTTTTCTGCTTCCGGCGCGACCGCCCAGTCGCGCCACGATGTGACAGACGGAAAAGGGAAGCCGGAGTGGGAAATGCTCGGGGCTTGGAGGAAGACTCCATCTAAGGAAAGCTGAGAATTCCTGGGCTGAAAGAATGGCGGCTCAAAAGCTTAGAGACCCTCAATGTACGTACCGCCAGCACTGGGCCACCACGAAAGTAAATTCAGCCTTTCCTCAAGTCGGACACAGGATACTGCTGCAGGAAGCATGCTTCCAACAACCGACTTACTTCCGTAGTTTCACACAAGCTGCTATGGCAGCGGCTTTACAGCTTGTGCTCGTGGCAGGATCCCAAGGAACGTGGTTTCTTTCTCAACTGCTTTGTGGTATTGTTATGACCCTTGCTGAGGCATGTGCCTTCCAAGATGGCTTTGCTGATATCGACAACATCTTCCCTATTCTGTATGCAAGGCCCTGTCAGGGAAACGGCTTCAGCCCGAAGCTGGACGGGGCAGGATGTCCAATTATCTAGTGGAGGCTCGTTTTCTTTCTGATCGGTCTGTGTGCTGTTTCATTGTCTCAGGCGAGATGTTTGCTCCTGAAAGTCAATAGACACACAGAAAGACAGACAGGCAGACAGACAGACAGAGAGTGCCAAGGAAGCTTTTCTGTTCGACGGACAGGAGTGCCAATTGACACGGCGCAAGCTTGCACTGAGATTGCATCACGGCAGAAGCCAACCCGGGCGAAACTTGAAGAGACGAGTTTCATTTATCGTAAGACGGATGACACGGGTCAAGGGTGCAAAGCGATCCCAAATCAAGCCCGTCCGACAGACTTCAAGACGGCAGCTCCTTCTTGAACTTCGCGGTTAAGAGACAAACTAATGAGAAAGGTGGCTGGTCCATGCAGCAGAAGACTGGTCGGGATGGAAGTGGCGTGTTCTCAAGCCAGATCAATTGTCGGTTTGATTCAGTACCGGTGTCCTGTGCTGCCTTTTTCGGAATGTGAAAAACCCCAAGCGCACTAGAGAACTGTCAGTGAAGAATCATCGCAGAAAAACCTGTGACTCGACGAGTCGTTGAAAACCTCTGCCTTGGCGCCAGCAATCCCGTTGCTCAACACACGGCCTGCCCCACTCCTGCAGGTGCTGCCCTCAGAAGAGAGCCCGACTGCTTCACTGATCTCTCTCTCTCTCTCTCTCTCTCTCTATTGCAAGCATTCGGGAGCCTGCAAATTCTGTAAGGCCAGGCAACTGTATGCCAACTGAGTGGATATGAGGACCGCGGACGACACTACATGTCAGAAAACAGACGTCCTGCGAAAGCAGTTGCTGAGTGTACAGCGTTGCAGGCACTTGACTGGGTTTGCGCCGGGAGGGATGTCCAGGTCTAGAGTCTAGAGTTTCATTGACCTGCAGGAAGGAGGCAGAGATCTCCAATACCTCATCACTTCGTTGCCATCCAGTGGCGCTTTGCACCTGCCTGATTTAGACTTCCACGTTGGAGAGCTGTCCGCAACCGTCACATCGCCGGGCCTGCAGCCGTGTTTCTGACAGGTATGAGACTTCCCAGAACTACAGAACTTATGGGACAGATCCGAAATATGCTGCGACATCCATCAAGGACATACCACCTTGACCTGTAAGAGTGATGTCCTTGCAGCGTCCTGGTCCAACCAGCGCTTTGAGTGCAGGACTTCGAGCTGCCCTTTAAAGTGACAGATGCCTTGGGGCAGCTTGGACCGCACGCGAACGCACGCTAGACGGCAGTTCGACTGAAGACATAGACGGGTCTGAAACGAAAGGTTCATCTGCCGGTGATAGTCAAAATTAGCTCGTGTCAAGTGCAAACGGTGACCATCAGTTCGGTTCGAACATGAATCAAGAGTCACGCCTCACTGCATCGCTGAGGCGAGTGGTATATATTCCACCTTCCGATGTCTTTCCGCCTGAAGGGCGCTGGGCAGCAATGACCTACGAAGTCCAGGAAATAGCGCAACACGTCTTGAGGAGCATTCGGAAGACCAATGTAATCGTGCGGAGCGGCAGGAGCCAGCTGGCGGAAACAAATCACAGCCTGGCCAAGTCTCCTTCAGCAGCTCTGCACTTGGATCCCTGCGACCAATCCACACCCAGAAGTTCCGCTGTTCGGAGCTAGTCCGAAAGATAACAGATGAGTTGCAGAAAGTTCTGGGACGCAGTTCGACAGGAGGAACCCGCAAAGCTATTCTGTTGCACTTGTGCAAAATGATGTTGCGTGGACAGTCACGCGTTTGCACCTTCACTTTTATCCACAGACAGAGGGCCGCCAGTAAGTGGACTGTGAATGAAGTCGTTTTCCTAAAGAGAACGATAAGGAGACACATGGTAGAAGCAAATCCTTCTTAAAGGCGATCTTGGGTCAAGCCTGCCAGAGTGAACAGTCCAACGGTGAGTGTAACAGCCGTTCCGGCATTGGTTCGTAGATTTGCTGAGGCCCCTCGCAGCAAGTCGCGGCTTCCACCTTCGTAGGTGGCACGGACGCCACCTGGCCAAGCCCGGACATTTAACTGCCCTACAATAGCGGACTGGCTCAAAGGCCTGGACTATTTCGGGCAACATCTACGCCACAGTGCCAACCTGGCAGGCCGAACACGAGTCTACAGTCACTGCCATGCTCTGCAGAATTGTTCCTGAGAGGCCTTTGGAAAATCTGGTAAACCATGATTTCGAAAAGAGAAATGGCAACCAACTCTGAAAACAGTCGCGGTGATTTCGTCATTGCTTTCCGACGAGCAGCCGGCTGAAACTCGGTGGAGAGAACTTGGCCTTGAGTGAACAGTGCACTGCACGGCAGGCTTTCGGATGGGGCATGCTCAACCGCTACCTCTACGGCCATAGACTCGCACTTGCAGAGTTTCCGGCACGTAGAGACTGCGTGAGAGGCACCGACGAAGTTCAGTACATCGATTTCGATACCAACAGTGACAAGTGCTGCCCTCAGTTGATTCTTGAGCAGGGAGCTGACAGCTTCTGGCCTTCAGGTCCAAGTGGTACTTCGAAGCGCCACCAGGGAAGCTCGAAGCCCAAAGACTTGGCGGCTGCCAGCTTTGATCTCTTGAAGCTTCAGGTGGTTGTAAATCTGTAGTCGAGATGGTTGCGGCTGCGTTGAGTTCAGACACCATCCGTGCAGAGCAGACCTCAGCCGTGTTCGAAACTGTATTCGGCTGAGTCGTAAACTCGCTTTGGGGGGCTCTAAGCTTGTAGAGTTCAAATTTTCCAACACAGGCTCCCGACTCGCTCCGACACGGGTCACTGAAGATTATGACACTGGTAGTTGCCTCAACCCTGAGCCCTTAGGTTCTACTTGCCTGAACTTGCCGCCTCCTACGGCGGGACTGCTCTGGCGCGTTGCTTCGTATCCCGAAAAGAAGGCATGATTCGGCATGATGTCCATATCATCTCTGGAGGACGCTGCAATTCACGATTGCCAGCACCTATGGTGATTTCCAGCATCTGCCGGAAACTCAGCACGTTGGTCCCACAGCACATACCGACAAGATTGTTATCGTGAGGAACAGCCCCCTGGATTTCATCACTCTAGAGTGCGCTTCGTGCAACAGCGACCGCGGGATGCGGCTTGTCCGCTTCGCTGTCCTGCCGGCACGTAACTTCCGCTTGCTCTTCGCGTGCTCTCGACCTGCTCTCTATTGTCCCTAGACGAGCTCTGGGTGCTTTCGTATTGAAGCAGAAACGCGGAGAGAAAGCTCTGACTCACTCTGTTACAATACCGATCGGCCAGGATAATGGTTTGGAATGGACAGGTGAGGAGAAGATCGTCCAGGCAAGTGCATCAAGACTAAACTATCATGTGCCTACATGCCAACCGTGACTGCGAAAATCATAAACAACTGTCCTGATTGTTCCCTTCTCTTGGTACTTCGCACAGGTCACTCTCTCCACTGGGAACCATTGGTGGCGAGATCCGATGAACGCAGCAGCACAGCTGAAGTTCGACACGGTTACACGACAGTCACGACCGTGTATGCAAGATTGAGATGTGCTTGTTTGGGGTTCGGCAAGATTTTAGCAGCAGTCAGGCGTTGCCTTTCACGGATGCCACGGAGTGTGAGATCGCGGCTGCCTATAGCTCAGTACATGAAAGAGCAGCTTCCTGTCCGGCCGGCAGTGTTTGTGCCAAGAACTTCTTGATCTGCAAATTGCAGTCGGCAAACCAGACCTCGTCTCACCGTTTGGCCCAAATTAGAATCAGCCGGTGTCACTTCACTGCAATGGTGGGACCTCTATGCTGAGGGATGCCGAGGCAAACGGGCAGTTGTGTTTGGTAATGAACGGGTGCTGTGCATGATCCTAGGTGCTCAGCTCGACAGCAGCAGTCAAGCTCTTTGTTAAATAAGCAATGAGAGCATTGGCTGACAGTGTGCAACAGGGCTTCAAGCATTAGCAGATCAGGCCGTGCAGACCCGAAGAGGTCGGGAAGCAGAACGTGCTGCAACCGTCCAGGTCACTTCCGTTTAGATTATTAGTTTTCGGATCACTAGGGCCCATGAGGTTTTTTGCAATACGGGACTTGGAGACAACGCATGATGACTCAGGCAGCCACCAGATCCAACTTCCGAGCTGCTCGAGTCGATACAGTCTGTGCTCCGGCAACAGGCCACGACAAGCAGTGCAGAGCAAGAATGAATGGACAGAAAATGACTAAAGCTGATGACCCAATCTGCTTGCGGCCACAGCAGACAAGCTCAACAAGTCTTGTAAGCCCCAAGTGAGAAGCTGGAAGATCTGTGCAGCTGCTTGCCATGCCTGGAGGAGCTCCAAATCCAAGAGCTCCTCGCGGAGCAGACTGAGCCGCTTGACAGAATAGCGCTGTGGGGCACACGACAAGGCTCCACTTCACAGAGGCAGCGTTGTCCTGCTGTCCTAGATTACATATGGGATGGAGTCTCAGTGCTGCAGAAGTGTTGCAGAACCGGCGAAGTCCACGTGCCCCACGTCCGAGGAGAGTGGCAGGAGTGGTGTGTTCTATGCTACACCAAAGTGAGGAATCGGCGCCGCAGGCGGCGGTTTCAATCCATGTCAGTTCACACATGGCATGCTGGTGATGTTGTCGAGTGAGTAGAAGCTCGCATAGAGATGAAGCAGCAATCCCAGTTCATCCCAGATCCACGTACGGAAAGCGTTTGACTGCGCCTTGTGCAGGTTCTTGAGCCAGCTGCAGTAGAGGCGAAAGTCGCGCCCACGTTTTCTACCTCTTCCGTGTCGGCCTCAGCTACGTGTGACAGTATGAGGAACCCTGCAACGGTCTCCTGCCACAGCTACCAGGTGCAGGAGAGCATAGTTACCGACGACACATCGCAGAGAAAGGGAACCAAAAGCGCCTCGCCTTTGTCGCACAGACATGATCACCGTACAAGCGCTGCTTCCGTGCTCATGCATGTGGTGCTTGGCATTCGTAGCAGTCTAACCTAGTAACCTTTAGCCTTTAACCTTTTTGGGGCACTATTAACCCCCAATAACTCCAGAGGTTAACCTTTCGTTTCCCTTGGGTACTGGACATCTAGGACAGTCATTCGGTCGACTTTGAGATGCCCGCACCACTCCTGCAAGCAGCTCTAGCATTACAAGACCTTGTAAGCCTGACAACACGGGCTGTCAAAGTAATACAACGCGGCTCAAGTAGTGTTCTGCGAGCAGTCTGGAAAAGCGGGGGCAGAGCGTTCGAGCTGTATGGCTATTGGCTAAAATGCTTGGTGCTTCGGTTCATAGATCGTGCTATTCGCACGCTGCTGCTTGCAGAGCTTCGTCATTTTCCCATGGCGCTTACTTGGGATGACCAGCTGACAGATCTGCTGTCGCAGAGCACTGATGTAATCGTATGGAAGAGGCTGATGCCTGTCACACAGAGCAACGGCGAGGCCTCAACTCCGAATGTCTGGCGGGTGCCAATTTTTGAAGAGCTACTCGTCTTCTTTTGGGATTCTCCTTCACTGTGGTGAGCCTTTCTGGATCTCAGGAGGCATACAGGAGCACCGCTCTGGCAAGCTATGGCCAGCACGTCAAGCATGTGTTCTCGGATGTTCAGCAGCTTCTTGCCCATCATCAGGTTCAGGCTCAGGCACAGAATGCGCAACCGTTACTCGCAGCAGCGCTGCAAGCGGTTCGCTGATGAAAATGTGACGTCGCACGCCTCGCATACTTTGGCACAAAGCACTGTCCCCGACCTTCATGCGGGCACATGCCCGAAGGTGGGCATCACAGAACAAGTTGATAGCTTCGACAAACCTTTCTCAGCCACGGACTCCACTATTGCCACTGCAAGAGTGCCTGGGTCTGCAGACATAAGTCATGAAGTCATCATGTCTTCATGGCACGGTCCTTCAGACACATAGTAAGTCGTGAACTTCATACTTTTGAGCATTGTGCGTACAAAGCCGGTTTCCAAACTGCGCATCCTGATCAGCACTGCTCTTGAGCACCTGCTTTGCCATTCAAGTTCTTGGCGATGTTGAGCAAGAAAATGGAAGCTTCCGGTGGCTTCAGCTATTGTCTCCTGCATCTGAATATGGACAATGTGCGCTGGGTGAAGATGAGACGCCCGAGGAGCGATAGGAACTGCTTTGCCGGCTCTAGTTGTTCCAGTGAGTAGTTGCTTCAGCTCCTGAATTGTGCCAACGTGGCAGGCTCGAGGCAGAACATGGGAGCATGTGGCGATAGTTTCTATGCGGATAGCAGAAGGTAGAATCTAAGGTCCCATGTGCAGGCTCCGCAGCCTATCCCTTTCTCTATACAGGCCGTACTGGGTATGACAACATGAGTTGTAGCGTACCGGAGCAACGGTAGCAGTGCTGAGATGCTTCTGCCTGGATGGCGCATGACGGATCGGATCAAGGGAGCGATTCGGATGACGACAAGAACAGTAACGGAGCCAGCAAGGCCAGCAAGTGAAGCTTGGCAAGAAGGCTGGCAAGGCCAAGGCACAATCGAAGCGAGACAGGAGCCCTGGCCCTGGCAAGCCTCCTAGCAGCAGCGTTGCCGTTGCCAAGAGGTCTGGACTGACCGGCAGCAAGAAAGATCGCCATCTGGCCAAGCAGCTAGCTACTGAGGCGCATGTGGAGCATGCCAAAGGAGCATTCACTGCATGATCCATCTCAACATGAGTTTTTTTGTCAACCCGAGGCAAGGTCAGATGTTAAACGGCATCAGCGACTCAGTTCAGCTTCATGCCTGTAGTGCCACGGGTTCGCATGGAGACAAGCGACAGATTCAGTACGACATTCCGCCCGTTGTTGCCGCACCTACCCGACCTACCCCCCGGTACTCCCTTGCTTGACCAGATATAAGATGCCACGCTTACGACGGCCACGGTCCACGACAAGCTGTGTGATAACGACCTCACGGGAACAGCCTCCTCGCAGTACGACGCAGTGAGCCTGCGAAGCAGCAGGCATGTTGCTGGACAACGATGTGGACTCTATCAGCACGAAGGACCTGGAGAAGGTTTTGCTGCTGCTGGAGTCCTAGGTCGAGGACATGCCATTTACCATGCTGGTGAAGATCACTCAGAGGCTGCTATTAAGAGGATGGACACGCTTGTGGGTTTGCGGGAGATGCCTGCTGAGTTTGCGAACCACGTGTCCGACTTTGTGGCCGGTGTCACGCCAGTGGCGCCGATTGCTACCTCATTCGAGAGTACTGCTCCTACTTTGCACAGCCTCTTGGCCAGGCAGCTAGACCGTCGTACCAGGCAGAGCGACAGCAACTTTTCAGGGGAGGGAAGACGAGGGGGTGAAGCGAAGACTGGGGATGGCGATGAGGTCCTTCAACGATCGTTTCGGGCCCTGTCTTTTTGGTTTCTCGCCGCAGCCTTTGCCGAACGGTTGAAGGAGGGGTTCATTATAACAGAAGGCCGCAATGAAAAAGGGCACGGGAGTCGCGGTGCCAGGTGGATTCTTGGCTTGAGGTGCCGGGCCTAGGGCTAGGCTAGGGGTGATGGCGTACCCAGTCGGGTCGTGGGAAGGGGTATAGTCTGGCTATGGGTAGGCCAGCCATGATTGCTGCCGGAAAGCAGCTTGCTACTTGCCGTGCTCCACGAAATTCTGCCGAAAGGAGCTGGAGGTCTGCAGCCGTCTGCATGGCATTTTGTACAAGTGTACCGCAGAGGATGATGTTTGCGCTGGTAACGTTGCAGAGTGTCTTCTTTCGCTGGCCGTGGCATTCGTTGAAAGACATCAGGCCTTGCAGAAGCGGTTTGAGACAGTAGTGAAGCAGCATGGACAGGGTGGAACAGCTTTGCAAGGATTTGTGAGCCGAGCGTACAAGCTGCTCAGATGTTGCTTGCACTTGCTGTCGGCCCCTGCTGTGGTTCACTGAATACCACGACCGGGCTACTTTCGACAAGGCCTTCAGCGCAGCCAGCCTTCCGAGACAAGCGGCAGCAGCCGTCCGGAGCCACGGCAACTTCTACGACCCGACCCGGGGCCTCTGGCAGTGATTGACAGATGAAGCCATCGCCAAGGCTGAGTCGAGTGTCAAGTTGAGGCCCGTCTTCGACAAGGTTATGGCGCACCTCGACGAAGATCTCTCGGATGATGTTTCAGCGACGTCACGGTTGGTGGAGTCCTTGCCCCAGCTTCGGTCAGCAATGCGAAGTGCCGAGATGGAGACACTTCTCCCCACAGCCCTGGGAAAGTGGAGTATGCAGAAATGGTTTCCGGAACCCGGTCCATCTGCGAAGAGGAGCTGCGTGCCACGACCAGAAGCAAGGACATCATGTACTCCTTCATAGCCAACACCTGCGGCGTCCTTTTGGGAGTGTCACCAGCAAGTCAAATGCCGCCCCCAACAAGGCTAAAAATCTCCGTTTGTTGGACAAAGCTCTTGGCCTCCAATGATTTTATGAAGCGATGGACGGTTGCCACCACAACTTTGATGACAGCAAGCATCCGACGACCGATGCCCTCGACATGCTGGCCAAGCTCGTTCCGAGCAATGCCTTCGCAGGGAGAAGGACGTGAAACTATTGACACGTGTCAAGGAGCTGCTGCAGGTCCTCGGGGAGAAGCAGCGTGCAGTTGCTAGCCTACGCGAAGATCCAGAAGCCCGACAAGGTTCAGAACATGCTTGCTTTCGATCTGACAGCTTTCCTGGGACTGGACGAGTGGCAGGAGTACCAGGAGTGCTTTGCACACACGCTCGCCAAGTCGCCTGAAACTAAAGTTGGTGCTTGGCTCAGGCTACCATAGAGGTGGTGGCATCCGCAAAGGAGCCAAGCAAAAACGGCGAAAAATCCTTGAAGTTGCTCCTTTCTTCCACCATCCAAGTGGCGGCTGAGAAGCTGTCCCAGGAGCATGCCGTTCAACAGTTTGTGACAAGTTGCAGCATTGGCTCCAAGCCCAACAGGGGCCCAGCAGAGTGGTTTGCAGTGCTACTAGCCTAAGTAGTCTCTGACGTTGAGCCCGTGCTCTCTGATGCCGCGTCTCTATGTGTAAAGGAGATAGAAACCGCCGAGAAGTTCTTGGCGCCATGGCCAGATCCTACCGAGTGGAACCTTGCCCAGCCAACTCGACGATCACAAGTACAAGCGTGCTTTTGATGGTCTGCCTCATGGCATCCAGCAAAGAGGAGCAGGTGCAAGGGATCAGCTGTTGGTGCACCGCCGCAGGCCAAGAATGTTAAGACAGTTCCAATGCAGCAAAGAATCATCCGCGCAGCGGCGGTCGACCTTGAGATGCCCTTAACACTGGAAGGGCAAGCAGCACCAGCAGCTGGATTTGTTTTTTCGTCGTCATTGACGGCCCTCTAAAGCAATTCCCAACCCCAAACCACCAGAACAAGCAGTTTCAAGGATGAAGGCCCTTGGCTTTAGAAAATATCATCAGCTTGTCGTACAATTATGCTCGAGCATAAATACATCTTGGGTTTAGGGATTGGTTTCATGATAGTGATGTACCGTATAGTTGTGTTGCAGTACTTACTTGTTTGTTGTATGTTTTATTTTCCGCTTTCGGTGACCTGTTGGGGTTCGGGGCTTCAGGGAAGGCGATAGCAAGTCGAAGCACTGAACCCAAAGTCCAAAAGGCATTGAGTAATGGAAGACTGGTCAAGATTGCCAGAGTTGGGAACTTCCAACACATGTTTGGCCAAATGCAAAAAACACGATGGCTCATGCAGTGCGGAGTTCCTGTGAAATCGTAAGCGACAGATTGCCTGACTTCTGGTTTCGATTGTTGACGGCACTAAACCCTAAACGACAAAGTGTTGCTGGTTCACAGTTTCGGGCGTGGGGTTTGGGATTGGGTCTAGGGTTTGGTATGTGGGTTCCTATTGTAACTATGTCTTGGGGTTCGAGGCAGGTGCGGACTTGTGACAGCGCCCCTTATTCTCGGATGAACCACCGGCTGTCTCGAAATTGGCCACAAAAGAAAAGCAGATGCAGCGACTGAAGAATACCGCTGTTGATAAAGCAAAAATCTGCACTCTTTGTATAACCGATATGAGAAAAAGGTTCGTTATGGTACATCATGCAAAGTTTCTTCCGCCCAAACTAAGGCAAGGGCATGATGAGCCTTCGACGCAATCAGCACAGTGCATTGTCAGGAAACGCGCTCTCGCCACCACGACCAAGGTCGCATCTTAACTCAATGCCAGAAGACGTCCAAGAGCAGGACATGTCTTTGGCCAAACGATTGAACGGCTACATGAAAACGCAACTTTTATGCAATCAGTGGTTTCGATGACCAACGGCCGTTTTGGCTGCACCAGGAGTTTGACCGCATTGTTGTTTGAGTTTTCGAGGTTCAGTTCAGAAAACTTACGAGCCAAGCAATGAGGTAATGAGGAATAATGTACGAATCTGGCATGGTAACAGACTTTCCCGTAAGGTGCTGTGGTTCTGCAGGAGAAGCATTCGCTGCAGTGCTTATTCTGAGCAATGCCATTCTTTTTGGTGTCCAGGCAGGTCACTTCTGTTTTATGAAGCAAGCATGCCGGTGCCGATTTGCAAAGCTCCCTCCGCGGCAGGCAGACCATGCCGTGCAACAGCCCAGCCATGAAGTGCCGGAGTTTTTTCGGATTGCAGCTTTATTGCAAGGGACCAGAAAGCTTGGGGTAATGGGGCAAATCCGGAGAGCGAGGCAACCCTGCCCAAATTTCAAACCTCTTCTCTCCTCAGGAGGTGTACGGTCATCTTGTGGTCATGGCTCAGCTGGATTTTCTAACAACTTTGCATGCAAGATCGCCCGAAAGGGTGCTCTGTCGCCTAGTGACTTTGCATCATAGTACTGTTAGAGTCAGTCCTTTGGTACTTTCAGCTTGTGATGTGATCTGGAGCATTGGCAAAACCGAGCACGGTAACAGTCGGTACCAGACAACTGTTGGGTAGCCTCCCTGAACCAGAGGCCGTTGAATTGTTTCACCTGACTTTTCCGCCGCTTCGCTGTGTATGATATTTACGAGCTTTCATTACGCTTAAGATTGGGATCAAGACGACAGCCCCCAAATCAGGACAGCGTGCTATTGGGGTGTAGACTGCGAAGTCGTGTGTGAATTCAATATAGACTACGGTTGGGACGGTTGGGACACTGGCATGATGGCTTCAGTCAATGCATGCTGACTTTAGCATGGCTTCGCAGTGTCCCTCAGACCCAGGCCGATGTTAGCTTTGCTTTTGTTTTGAACGAGCATCGCGGGATTCCCAAGGAATTTGATCGGCCTTGGCCATGTTTCTAGTGTCTTTTGCTTTATGCCTTTTTAAGACTGTAACAAGGGATTCGCTCCACAACCTCCTAGCCTGCATGGGGGAAGGCGGAGGCAGCTCGCATCTGCCCAGGTTCAGGCAGGTGCATGCCATGTGAAGAGTGTAAGATCATGCCGATGCCGAAGCGCCTCATCTCAGTCAGCTGCGAGATCTTGCGAGCCTTCATCTATCCGGAACCTGCTCTGAGGCAGGTCTGACATTCACAGTGTTATTCACGCTGGAACTTCTTCTTCGACTTCGGACTGAAGGCACGGTCTTGAGAAGAAAGCAGTGCCAGTGTAAGACTGCCTTGCGGCCATGAAAGGCAAACTGGACTCAACTGCAACCGGCAGGATGTTCAAACCGATGCCAACGAATGTTTTCATGGAACTAAGGGCTTCGGACACGGCAGTGGTGTCTTGAAATTTGACAGATGGTGGTCTCTTGCAATGGTTTCACTACCGTTACCAGCGGTACTGCTCCTACCCTGCTCCTCCTTTTGACCTCGGGCCAAGCATGCAGGAGCTTGAAGGGTGTTTTTAACAATACCATATGCTTAAACCTTAAAGCCCGAACATCAAGCCCAACGATTCGCCAAGTACCATATTGCGCACCTCAGTGGATAGTGAGCTTTGTCTTCGGATGACAGCCCCCCGAGACCTCTTTGTCCGACCAACCATTCCACTGCCGCTCCCGGCACTGCCGCTGTTTTGCCATCCTGCTGCTGCGACCGTTGTCGGGCAATGCTTCCGCACCAACCCGCCCCTACTAGCTTTCGTCCAGCCTTCTCCTCGGTTGCTAGGTTTTGTACCGTCGGTAGCCCTGCGCAGCCACACATCCCTTGCAGCATGATTTGCCTGTGAACTTTCAGGTAGGGGCATGTTTTCATGTCACAACCCCGACATCAAGTGGAACGTGATGGATACCGTGCTAGTGATGCTGGGCATTTTGGCGACTCGTCTGTCAATGTGAAGAGGCGTTGTCAAAGTGCTGCAGGGTAAAGACGAGATGCCCTCGCCTATAAGCCCAGGATGAGGTCATGACCCGCACCTTCGCAGCAATGAGAGACGCGCCAGATCCACCTCCCAATATGTCTTCGGCTCGCATTCTTCGACTGGGCCTCAGCTGCGCAGAAAGCTGATGACTGGGGCAGGGGATTCGCATGCTGCAACCATCAAAAGTTTCCCACAAAGGCATAACAGTCAGCTGTCAGGTCTGTGCCCATTCGCATGCTCTTGCGTTATGTGTTAGCCGTGATCGGAGCCCGTGTTGCAGGACTGCTGCGACTCGTCCGAGTTGCCCGTGTGCTCCGTGTGCTGCGCTTCTTCTCCGACCTGAGGGTCATGATTATGGGCGTGCTGAGCTCACTGAAGGCACGCCTCGTTTCAGCTTCACGACGGAGAACTGCACAGCTTCATTGGCCCTCCGAGACTTAGGCTTTGATGTGGGCCCTGATACTCCTCTTCTTCATCATTTACATTACGGCCGTGCTTCAGTTCGAAAAACTGACTGCCTCTGCAACCCGGAGGTTGCACCTACCAGTGCAGAAGAGTCGCTTCTTCCATGATCAGGTATGCATCTTGCAGTTTGTGGGCGAATATCTCGCGGACAATCCGCAGGACTTTCCCAGCTGCTCTGCTCATCGGTCAAGAAGTCTGCTCACGTGCTTCCTCGTATTGCAAGCAGCTTTCAGAGCCCTTGCTTCGTACCCCAAATTGTGCAAAGGTTGCTGCTTGTAACGTGCAGCTATGTTGTGAGCGATCTTCCACACGCAAGACTCTGACGCTCTATCCAAGGCGGACCATTGGAATTTGTCGGGCTGTCTCCCTTCTCTTCCTTGAGATGACCTCAGTTGATAGGGCTTGCAGCACGTGCAGCTTCTGTACAAGTCTCTGTTGCCGCAGCAGCGCTACAAGAGCGAATGAGGCTGACAACTTGCTTCACTTTGTTCCTGTTCATTGGCCGCATTAGTCGTGATGTCGACGTCGGAAGGAACAAGCCCTTTCAAGAGAAGCTTCTGTTCCAAAATCTGAACTGGAACAGCTCGGAACAGGTCAGGCTGGATGGAGGTCAGGCGAACATGTTGCAGATATAAAACTCCGCCGGCCATCTTGCTCTGTTGAGCTCTTTGTTCGGCAAGCACTGGGTAGTCATGGCTCGGGTGTTGGATTTCTCGATCAGCTTCGAACCAGAGTTTATTGCCTCTTCCTTGGCACGGATCTGGAAGCTCGAGGGCGGAAAGTTTGTCCGACGACGGGATGCCCACAACCATGCTGTCGATACTTGTCCGATCTCCTTGGAGCCCATGCAGGATCCAGTGCTCATGAGCGACGGGCACATTTACGAGAAGGATTCGATTCTGCAGTGGTTGGCAAGTGGAAACAAGTGTTCGCCCTGCACACGAGCCGAACTAACGCACAAGTGGGTCCTGAGACTTCTTCCCTACATCCAAACTACAGAGCTGCTACTGTCCTCCCAGGGCGATGGGACACCGACTGAGGCACAATCAATTTCGTGCCCTGACAGTATATCTGCCGTCAAGCTTTATGCTGCAAAATGTGCAGAAGCGCTTGAAACCTGCATCAACAGTCCCAGAGATTTGGGCAGAACTTTGCTGTCAGCACAGCCACTCTTTACAGAGCTGGAAGAGACGTCTGCAAGATTGTTGAGAAGTCTCGATCAGCTTAGGGAGGCTGCGAAACAAGAGTCCCAGGCTCTGACCGATGCAGCAGTGCATAGAATTCAGCGCTGGGTGCGCCACAACATGGCCGTTCGGCGCCGCAAGAAGCAAGCTGCCCAGCTTGCAGAACTATGTAGCAACGCCTTGCTCAAAGGCAAACTGGAAATTGTTGCCAAATGCTTTGACCGCACTGATATTGACTACCGACAGGTCGTAGCAAATCTGCGAATGCAAGGAGACACGTTACGTCAGGAGCTGGACAGTCACCTCACGCCCTTGCAGAAAGCGGCAAGGGCAGGGCTGGTCCATGCCGCCAGATTGCTGCTTCGGGCCGGGCTTACCCGTGACGATATCAACCTATTCGTGTCAGACCTCGCAGGGGAAGACGATGTCGCCTTCTCAAACAGTACATGCCTACATCTTGCTGTCCATCCGAATCATGTTAACATGACGCGATTCCTTTGTCAGGAGCTGGCCGATGTCGACAAACCGTGCACCTCAATCAATGTTACAGCGCTGGTGCTGGCAGCTCGATTCGACCATTGTGAGATCATTGAGGAGTTGGTCCGCGCACGTGCGGACATGGAAAAAGCCACGAAAGACTTTGGCTGCACACCGCTCTTCGAAGCTGTGGGACAGGGCAAGGTTGCTGCCGTGGAGTCACTTTGCAGGCTGCGCGCCCAGATCAACCGATCGCAGACAGTTGGTTTCACGCCTCTCTTCCTGAGTGCCAGGATCGGGTTGTGGAGTTGATGTGTGCTTCAAGAGCTCTTTTCGATCTTCGGGGTTTGTCACGTACTGTAGGAGCCACGCACACCCTGCATTGCCAGGACGGGAGTGGAGCAAGTCACGAGCATTTTGATCAGGTTGCGTGCAAACCTGGAGAAAGCTGACGTCAACAGCGGATTTACCCCCCTTTGCGAAGCAGCTCGGCGAGGACACGCGGAAGTGATTCGCGCCCTATGTATAGCTGGAGCCGAAAAAGATGCCGTGACAAAGTCCGGCTTCTCACCTCTATTGCTGGCAGCAAGCAACAATCGCATCGAAAGCCTGAAGGCATTATGTGATGCTGGTGTGGACAAAGACAAGCTCTATCGTTTGAAGATTTGGGATGCTGCTCCCGGTGATTTGGAAATTGGGAGCACCGAGCACACCATTCTGTCATGCATTTTGGGAGAAGCCGCAGTAAGACGCAAAATGAAAGAGAGCAAAGGGAAGCAGCACATTACCGTGTGGGACTCTGGGTCGACTTTATTTGCTTCTGCTTTCCAAAACCAGCCAGAGATCGTCCAGGCACTCTGCGAGAAAAAAGCGGACATGGACAGGCCAACCTCAGAAACCCAACTGACGGCCTTGTTCATTGCAGCAGTCAGAGGCCACGAAGAGGTGGTCCGGACATTAATCCATGCAAGTGCAGACGTTCGGCGCCGTGCCGGAAAGACGCAAATTACCCCTGCCACAGCGGCGGCACGTGCAGGAAGGGGGAAGGTGGCAAGTTTGTTGGCGGAGCTGGCAGATGAGGAAGATTTTGCGGAATCCTCGGACAAGAAATTGGAAGTGCACACACTCGAAGATGTCATCAGAAGAACCGAGGTTCCTTGGTCTCCCTGTTCAGAATGTTTGTCCGGTGCACGACCCTTCCGCACGATCTAGAGTCTAGAAGCGGGTAGGCGCAGCTAGAAGCCGCTGCAATGGGTGCAACTCATTGTCAGCCTCCTGAGGCCATGCGTTTAGGTCAAGGCCAGTCTCACGCCACTGGAGATTTGCCACCTTCTGGGCTTCCTCGGGGCCTTCTTGAGTCAGAATCAACACCATCTGTTATCAACGGACTTCATCATCTTCCTGAGCATCTGCGGCGTTCTGTTTTCCAGGCTTGGCGTGAGGCCTACTCCAACACGAGTCGTTGATTGTAAAGAAAGACATCCAGGCGACAAAGCGCGTCAAGGCTTTTGTACAATAGCATTGTTGGTTTCTGGCAGAACGTTGCCAGTGAGTAGGAAGGTGATGGAAGGTGCCTGACTGAGTACCATTGCTGGCAAGTGCAAGACTGTCAGCGACGTGCTGAAATCCAGCAACGACAGTGACATTAAGAGCTGCGACCGATCAAGATGCAAAAGCAGACCAGCGAATGTTAACTGTAGATTATCGCAGACTGCCATTTGTTGACCAGCTTGTCGTCCCAGTTCGCGTAGCCCTGATGCTGGAAATGTTCACTGTCACAGTTGTGTCTGTTGTGGACGTTGCAGGGTCAGAGCTGCATTTCCAAATGTTTTGATTTTGTTGGTTGGCAATCTGGTCTATCGATTGGTCTGAGGACGATCTCCGGTGGCATCAGTTGGGGAGAGTTGGCACCGCCACTAATGCTGGTAAACCCCGTGGTGACTCCGATCCTGACGTTGTACATCGCACTCGCAACGTCGCTGGCTCAGGGTTGGTGCAATTGCGAGTCGTGAAAGTACAATTAGGTGTTTTAACTCAGACTCGCCAGTGCTGGACAGCTTCGTTTGAAGTTTATTCTGCTTCTGGTCGTCTCCAGCTTAACAGCTTCTGCTTAGAGCGTAACATCTCCGCCGCTACTAGATCAACATGAGCTGGGAAGTTCGAGTCTCGAGAAGGTTGTTTGCAGAATATTTACTTCAGCGATGTAAGCCCTCAGGAGAATTCGAGAGTCGAGAGGCTTCAATTGCATTTTTTGCACAAGTGCTGGGCGTTCGTTCGCTTGCAACGATGCGGGAGACATACCCGGCCTTTCTGAGCATGCGAAACTTAGCAGGCGAATGTTGACCACAGATAACAACACGTTTTACGCTGGCAAGACTGAGCGAATCGTTTTCAGGGGAAAGCCCACTCTACCTGCCCATTGTCCTCCGACTGAATCTTCAAGCAAGACTGCCAGCATCGTTGCGATCCACGGCATAAAGATCCGGTGTCGCGAAAGCGACATCTACGCAGCTGTCAGGGCAACGGCAGCGGAAGAAACACGATTAAACCTCGTCGCACCGAGGCAACACGTGCTGTTTCAGCGCCTGTGCAGTCTAGCGAGTCGTGTTCCTCAGATTCAGATGGCGACTACATCACGATATGCCCCTCTCAAGACCCACCGGCACAGTGATTGCGTCACGCAGGATGCAAGTAGAACCTCCATCCGATTATGCCGGTCGACCCAGCACGGATCATTCAGCGCAGCTGAGATGTGCTTCTTGAGCCTTCCTCCAGGTTCTGTGTGCTGAACATCGTGCAGCCCCTAGAGTGTGATGCAACGAGAAGCAGCCGCAAGATGCGTGAACATGAAGACTGGTTGACCCTCGTACTTTGCACAGGTCACTGGTGTCTTTGTGGACCGTTCTGCTGCGATGGCTTTGCAAGACGAAGAGAACATGATGCTGGAAGAGATACAGAACCGGAAAAGCTTCTTGGTCCAGCCTAGTTCAGTCTGAGCCAGACCCGACATGGAGTTCAGTCGCTTTGCCCGAGGATGGATAAAGGAGATCGAGACCTTGCCAGAGTCTTAGCAAGCAAGCTGCACAGATGTGAGCACAGACCCACTGTCAGCAGACTGACGACGACGGCAGCAACAGCAACAGCAGCAGTGGCGACCCAACTGCTCACTCCGGAATGCGCCACGCAACCGTCACACATGCGCAATTTTCGGGAGGGAGCTGTCTCCATGCCACAGCGGAAAAACGAGGCAGTGCTAATTACTAGTGTTTTAGACACATGGCAGTGCGTCGGGAAGCTGCGAGCCACTGACTTGCGTGATAAGCCTTCCTTCGAGACGAGGTTTGCAAAGGCAGACACGGACCAAAGCGGCAATGTTGAGTGGGAAGAGTTTGAGAATGCTTTGGCAGACCTTCGGGTCCAGCTCTGCTTCAAGAACCTTGGGTGCCTGGGCTCATGAGAGGGCATGGATCAGAAGCGACGCCATCATGCTCTGGCCATGCAAAGGATTGACCTCCACAAAGTAAGCTTGGAGCAGATCTGGCAGCTCATCGACTTCGACAACAAAGGCTACATTGAATTACACCTGCATTGGTAGCTAAGTTCGGCATCGCAGAGATGCACAAAAGCTGGCCAGTAAGGGCCTCAGTCATGGCTCTGCGCAAGGCTGTTTCTGCAAGCTAAGGAAATCAGCGAGTTTGCCGACTGCCTGCTGGAAATGCATGGCGTTGCGCACAGCATTGACATTGCACGCCTGAGGCACGCTGCGCCTTGTGTGCGCAAAGTCCTGTGCCTACGTCCACTTCCCGAAAAGGCACGAACAGCAAAGGACGGCACGGAAGCTGGAGCATGTACTGAGGCGGGGACCTCGGCTTTGTTGTCAAAAAACCTGGAAGCATCCCCAGGCTCTGCGACACGGGGTTCCAGACGCTGTCTGAAATGTCCCGCTCGCTGGTTGTTTCTGGAATGCTGCTCGGAACAGAGAAGCAGTGATAACCATGCTTAGCTGGTATCCGTCAAAGAGTGGTGCTGCCTGAGGAAGCCGATAAAGGGGCGCAAAAGTGAAGGGTGAGGGCAATGCTGGGGGGAGACACAGATCTGTGTTGTACAGACCCCGAAGCCCGACCATACCGTTGGAACGGAAATCCAATCAGAGCTATAGCAAGGAAGTTTAGTGATGGTCGGACTTGATCTTTACAAGTTAGCAATACCGGTCAATCTGAAACCTTGATTCATTACGCGAAGAAACAGACACAGACTAAGAGTCTGTCAGTTGAGTCTAGGTGCGGAGCGCCATGACTTGAGAATGCTCGTTCTGAGCACCCAGATCTCGCTGTAGACCTATGCGCGATCCTCCGAGATGCGACTTCGATCTCTAACGAGATTCTGCTTGTCGTGGACACCCTAAGGGAAATCCGCGGCACAACTAGGGAGACAGCATCCCATGATGATGAAAGGTGTCAGCATCTGCGCCTCAAGTCTGAACCGCGTTGAAGAGCACTGAAAACAGCGATGCACCAGTGGCACTGACATTCTGCAACTTGCATACTTGAGAACTGCAGGAAATGTGACTAGCAGCAGCTATAATGCAAACTCTGCTCAGGTGCTGCAGGGCCTTACTCGCCTTGCGATCCTTGGAGATTTCACGCGCGCTGGTGAAGGAGTCGCAGTCGATGATGTATCGGTGCTGTTCTTACTGTGCCTGACCAGGGTGCGAGCGAACAGGGCCCCTGTAATAGATAGTTGTGATGCTAGCGTCCCAGACGCCGCCTCTGCTTCAAAGGCGCAGCCGCTTAAGCTCCGAGCTCAGAAAGTCGATCCCACTAAGATCTCGACCAGCTCGTCCCAGCCGAGCTTCCCACTCGCCTGCCAGCAGGCGGGCCGATGCCATAGATCTTCCAGTGAAAACTGTGTATGACGGAGTGCCGTTGGGCGACAGTTCACTGGGGTACTTCTGCAGCTTTCAGTTCGTCAATAGTCGCCACTGACTCTGGGAGAGCGAAAGAGCGTAGCTTTGCAATCCTTTTCAAGTGCCAGGGCTGCATCTGTGCACATGATCAACGTCAAAGAAGGATCTCCTGCTGCGGAAGCGATCCAAGTGTCCAGAACTCAGCTTGGCTCCGTTGATTGAGCTTGAAACTAAAGCATGAACATGTTTGCAAGCAAAGTTTCATGCAACTGTGTTTGCCCGAATCCTGCTGACTGCAGAACGAAGGTATACTACCCCTTCTGAGAGCTTATCTGCGCACTGGTTTCTGCACTGCAGCCGACAAAAGCAGGGCACCACTGTCTCCGTGAACCACAGTCATAATTCTGATGGTCGAAGTGCATAGCATAGTCAAAGACCCCTTATCCCGGATCACATTGAGCATGCTTGAGACTCACAACAAAGACTGTCCGAATACTCGAGCTTCCTTTACCCTGGAAATTCAGTCCGAGCTATACAATGTTGTGGGGGAAGGGAAGAAGACATGTCACTTTGGAATCTCTTTGCAAGAGATTGGTTGAAGATAAATAGTTAGAATCAGTTAGAAGATCCCAGATAACGCAAGATATCTGTGAGTCGGTGTACAACCAATATGAACATCCGCGGCACAACTTTGGGACTTATAGATTTATTTGTTTGAGCCCTTCGGATACGGGCAAGCCTTGAAATTTTTTGGATGATTACGACTGCCCAACAACCCACAAGTTATGAGACTTCCAGACGAGAATTCGGATTGTAAACTACATAAAAATGAATATTTTTTATATTTATTTTATATTCGGTTATAAGATATAAATATCGAGATTAAGATGATCTAAATTCAAGTAATATGAAATATATATATAAGAAAAATTTACACAAAAATTAGAATAAATTCGATATATATTTTTAAAAAAATCTACCAAAAAATATCGTTGGGTCATATTTCGGATACGTATTTCTTATAAGTCTCTAGATTAATTGTGAGATTGCGAAAATCTTTTGATAATTTCTTTTATTATTTTTAAATTCTCGGTATTTATAATTTGGATACGTTAATTATCGAATTTATTCTCGATTGGATTAAAGATTTTTCGGCGATATTTCTTGAATTTTTGGAAATAAATTAAGAAAAAATGGATAATGAAATATATAGTATTTCCAAATATTTTTTTATATTATGGCGTGGGATATTTATAAGAAATATATATCTTTATTTACGAGGTTTTTATTATATGAATGATATATTTTGAGGATAGAAAGGCATTATATATATTAATTAAAAATGATATTGGGCTCCATTTTTTTTTTCCGCCTCTTAGCATATATTTTTAAACTCTCTCCCCAACCATCTTTTTAACCCCGGCGGACTCCGCCCGTGCGTAACCATTTTTCTAACCTCTGCTGCCCACTTTTCTAGCCCTTTGATCCTATTTTTTCCGTCCTGTATCTCCACTTTTTTGAGTCCCTATAGCTTTTTCTGACTTCCCAAACCATACCTTTCCCACCCTGTGACAGCTGATGAATGGACCCTGTCCTTCCGCCTCGATTTCCTTGCTTCCGTCTCTGTTGTCTTTCTCCTAATCTCCCTTCTTTTACTCTCTCCTTTTCTCTTGCTCCTCCCATTTCCATCCCTTGTTTCTTCTGTCTCTTTTTCCTACCTACGCACTTACCTATAATACCTACTTAGCTTTCACTTACCTACTTACTTACCTACCTACTTACCTACCTACGTACCTACCTACTTACCTACCTACCTAGCTACACGAAAGCACGTTGGCTGTGGAATAAAGCCGTATTCGATTGCGTTTCAGTGTGCATCATGGTCTCGCAGTATATGTTTAGGAGTCCAGACATCAAGAATCTCAGTATGATCACGACATGTTATGATAGTAAGCGCTGAGAGTCTAAGATCCTGAGAGGGGAGGCTTGATCACGCAATTAATAGTATATCTACGGCTTGGATGGGTCAAGCAAGTCTTCAAGCTGCTCAGGATTCAAACAAGCAATCAGTCCATCTATATCTCTCAATCTTGTATCTAGTCTTGTCCAAGCACCTCTTCCTCTCTCCGTATTCGCTGGTTGGCGATGACCCCTTGCATGTTGTTGTGTTCGTTGAATCTGGGGGATAAAGATAGGGTTGTTGTGATTTTGGCTGGCTAGGTAGGGCTCAGGCCTGCCTACTCCATACAATCCATTGCTATACGCAAGACCAGAGGCGTATAGTGTCTGCGCATATAGCGCCCAGGACACAGGGGAGCGGAGAGCTAAACCATCGAAGAGCTAGCCAGACTAGGGCCGGCACTAACGAATGGGCGCGCTAAGCAACATTCGTATGCGCGTCAGACTTGCGCACCGGTTGAATTGAAAACCGATGTGCAGAAGGGGTGTGCGCAAGGGTATATGTGTCTCGAACGAGTGTTTGTGGACTTGAGAGTCTATAGGGGGAATGGCTAGGGAATGGCTATATTTGATATGTTGTGATGGTGATGCCACTTGTGACTCGAGTTAATACTTGCGAAATTCAGCGTCTATATGAGTCTACATGGGGAATGACTTTAACCGCTACCTGCACTATTAATGATCGTATTACTAGTACTATTACCATTAATATTACTCTCATTATGAGTATTAATATTATTTCTACTATTACTACTACTACTACTACTACGACTACTACTACTACTACTACTACTACTACTGCTACTACTACTACTACTACTATTACTACTACTACTACTATTACTATTACTACTGCTACTGTTACTGCTACTGCTACTGCTACTGCTTCTGCTTCTGCTTCTGCTACTGCTACTACTACTGCGACGACGACGACGACGAGGACGACCACTAGCAGCACTACTACTACTACTACTACTACTACTGCTACTACTACTACTACTACTACTAGTACTACTACTACGACGACGACTACTACTACTACTATTCCTGCTGCCGCTGCTGCTGCTGCTGCTGCTACTACTATTACTACTGCTACTGCTACTACCAGTATAATAATATGTGTATGAAGCACAGATGCGAAAACCCGCCAAAATCAGCGCTTGTACGGAAGAGAATCTCAGCGAGCTTGGGTTGCAGCCCGCGGCAACGACTTGACATACGGAAGGGCGCGCGGAAGGCTTATAAGTGTAAGAGCTGACCCATGGGCCGGCGCGCAAGGGACAATTGGTTCCACGGAAGCTGCGCGCGCCATACACGCGCAAGGGTTTGAGAGCGTCAACGAATTGAAAAGAGGTTTTGATAACCGCTCAGGTAAGCAGTGTTTTTTTTCGGGAGACGAACTAGAACTGCGCAACACAGAAACTCCTCAAATCTTGGTCCGGAAACGAGGTTCTGTGTGCGCGGAAGGACGCGGAAGCTCTGTGGAAGGCTCCTTCGCGGAAGGGCTTGCGGAAACTCAAAAGAGAGTGCGCGGCAAGCCTTGCGCAGTCATTGAAGCCCTTGCGCGGAAGCAGATCTCGAAATTGAGCCGAAAAACCGTCGCGGAAGCAACCGCGGAAGGCGGAAGCAAAAAGACTACAAATGCTACTCGTGGAAAGGCTTCGCGGAAGTGGTAGTTTCTGTAGTGGAATTTATATAGGAACAAAAGCCAAAACTCAGGTGCATAGCACCCATAGGGGCATAACGCTGTTACGCAGGCGCGTGGCACTGGGCGGGCGCGTGGCGTTGGGGCTATAGAGCTCGCAGGACCCAGATGCATAGCCCCAGGTGCATAGCACTTGCGCAGACAGCGCGGCTACGCAAGAGCCTAGCTCTAAGCGGGCACGTAATTTGGGACATATAGGATTCCGGACACAGAGGTGCATAATAGCACCTGGCCGTAAAGCGTTGTACGCAGGAGCTGGGCTCCGGATGGGCATACAAGATATGCCACAGGTGCATAGCACCTGGTTGCATAGCGCCGTTGCGCAGAGGCATAGCTTTGGACGGGCACAAAGTGTGGGGATGTATAGCGCCCAAGGTGCGGCAGCATAGCGCCTGGGCGGGCGCATAGCGTTGGGGCGTCTACCGGCCAGGACATAGGCGCAGAACACCCAAGAGAATGGCGCTGCTACGCAGGAGCATAGCTCCGCAGAGGCGGCACATATATAGTGTTGAGGGATGAAAATACACAGGACATAAAAGTGCATAGCACCTGGGCGCATAGCGCCGTTGTGCAGTTTTGAGCATACTACTGTGCGGGCATATAGCGTTATGGGGCGTATAACGTCCCGCATATAGGTGCATAGAGCCTGGGCGTATAGCGGCGTCGGAGACAGGTGCATAGCACCAGGGCGCAGAGTGCTCCAGCTGCGCAGGAGCCTAACTTGAGGCGGAGGGCGCATAGCGCCGTGGTGCAGTATTCGAGCATATTATTGTGCGGACATAAAACATTGTGGGGCGTATAGCGCCCAGCACACAGGGACATAGCACCTGGGCGTATAGCGCCGTTTGATATAGGTGCATAGCACCAGGGCGCATAGCGTTCCAGCTGCGCAGGAGCATAGCTCGAGGCGGGCACCTCTGGGCGGGCGGGTATAGCGTTGGGGCGTATAGCATTAATGGACACCGGTGCATAGTACCTGGGCGCATAGCGGCACTATATATGCACGGGGGGCGGGCACGTGGCAAAGGTCGTATAATTAGCGCCCAGGACAAGTGCATAGCGACGGAGCATACGACACAGGTGCAAAGCACCGCAGGGCGCAAAGCGCCGGTGCGCCGGAGCATATAGCTCTGGGCGGGCACATAATATTGGGGCGTCTAGCGCTCAGCACACCGGTGCATAGCACCGCCTGGGCGCAAAGCGTCTTTCTGCACGGACAATAGCTCTGGGCTGGCACGTAGCGTATGACGCAAGTGCATATAGCACCTGATTGCATCGCGCTGCTGTGTAAGAGCATATAGCTCTGCGCGGACATGTAACCCTGGGGTGTATAGCGCCCATGCTGCAGGGCAGGTGCATAGCGCCGCTGCTACGCAGTTAGGCACGGCCATAGCGCTGGGCGGGCAATAGCGCCTGGGCGCATAGTCTTGTTGCACAGGAGCATAGGTCCGGGCGGGCATGTAGCGTGAAGACGTATAGCACCCACACAGCGGGTGCCTAGCATCGCCGTTACGCAGGAGCTTGCGCCCAGGACAGGTGCGTAGCGTCGCCGCTGCTCAGGAGCATAGCTATGGGCGGGCACGTGCTCAGGACAGTGGTGCATTACGCCTGCATGCATATAGCGCTTCTATGCGCAGGCTGTTGTATAAGAGCATAGCTCTGGGCGGGCATAGCACCGCTGTTACGTAGGAGCACACCTCTGAGCAGGCACATAACGTTTCAGTGTATATAGCGCCCAGTCACAACGGTGTGTAGACGAG